GCTCTGTTCAGGTTTTCCCTCAATCCCAGCTCAGTTCTGGGGCTCTGTTCAGGTTTTCCCTCAATCCCAGCTCAGTTCTGGGGCTCTGTTCAGGTTTTCCCTCAATCCCAGCTCAGTTCTGGAGCTCTGTTCAGGTTCTCCCCCCAATCCCAGCTCAGTTCTGGAGCTCTGTTCAGCTTCTCCCCAATCCTGGCCATGCTCCAGGGCTCTGTTCAGGTTTTCCCTCAGTCCCAGCTCAGTTCTGGAGCTCTGTTCAGCTTCTCCCCAATCCTGGCCATGCTCCAGGGCTCTGTTCAGGTTTTCCCTCAATCCCAGCTCAGTTCTGGGGCTCTGTTCAGGTTCTCCCCCAATCCTGGCTCACTTCTGGGGCTCAGTGGCCACAAGCAGCGGGCCCAGGCTGACTCATGCCTTCCTCCAGCTCCGGGGGATTTTCCACGGCGTGCCTCAGCCCTGGGAGGTTTTATTTTGGAAAAATTTGAGCAAAACCAGCCCTTGGATGTTCCCCTGAAGGTTCTGCCTGCCTCGGGCAGGGTTCAGGAGTGGTGCCCCGGGTGCCACCGGGGTTGGGGACACACCAAGCCTGGGCAAGGCACAGCAGCCAGAGCCACAACCGGGGGTGGCATTCGGGAGTCACGGGGCTCCCCCACCCCCAGCAGCTCCGGGCAGGTCGGGACTGGTTTGGGAAAGATCCCTCAGCTGCTTTCTGCCTTTCCAGAGAATAATCCCGGCTGTAAAACCCCCACAGAGCAGGACAGAGCCTGTCCCCAAGCCCCCAGCTCCTCCCCGAGCTCCCTCAAGTCCTTCCAGGAGCTCCAAACTTTCCCCTGCCCCTTCCCAGACCCTTTACAAAGAACCCCCGGAGCTTCTGCCCCTCCCAGCGATTCCCCCAAATCTCCACTCGCTGCTGGGGTGACGAAGCTCAGCCTTGGGGTTTTTTTTTCAGCCAAAATGTGAAGACCCCCCCGAGCTGGGGTTTGGTGACTTTCCCACCCTGAGCACGGCAGCAACCGCAGCTTCGTCGCCGTTTTTGTCCCTCTGCCCAGCTGGGGGACACTCGGGGGTTTTGCCAGGGTTGGGGGGCGGGCAGTGCCGGTTCCCGGTGCTCCCGCAGCTCCCGGACACGTGCCCGGGGCTGCGCAGCCACGGGAGCAGCCCCGTTACACAACGGCGCCTCGGGACGCCGCCCTCGCCGCTGGGAAACACAAATCGCTGCCAGGCCACTGGAAAAGGCAAAAAAAAACCCCTCGGCACAAGCCCGGCTCGACACCACCCCCGCCGGGTCCCGGCAGAACCTCGGGATGCTGCCGGGAGCAGCGCGGGCGGCACCGGGGGGACGCGGTGCCCACCCGCACATCCCCAATCCCGGGGGGCTCTCCCAGCCCTGGTGGTCGCTGGGCAGCCCCAGGGGCACATTTTGCTCCTCCTAACCCAAACCACCGCCCGTGGCAGTGGTGGGGGGGGGAGCTCCCGGGTTTCCTTTCTCCTCCTTTTTTCCTTTCCCAGCCGGGTCCGGGCGGGCACGGCCGCGGCGCTGCCTCCCCGGCCGGGTGTGGCCCAGGCGGGGCTATAAATGCCAGGGCCTGAGGCTGGCTCCCCTTCCGCCCTGCCCGTCCTCCCGTGGCCCGCCTGAGCTCTCGGTGAGTTGCTTTTCCCCCCTCCCTTCCCTCTCCAGATGCTCTCCAGATGTTGCCGAGGCGCGGCTGCCCCCCCTCCCCCGGCAGAGGTTCCTGCTGCAGGTGCTGAGCTGGGAATGTGGATTTCACCTGGCGAGGGCTGGAAAAGCACCTGAACCCCTTCCCTGCCCCATTTTCCTTCTATTTTGGGGCTGCCCAGCCCGGCCGGAGCGGGAGGTGGAGCCAGGGAGGGAACGGCGCATCCCGGGACGTGTCCGGGCCTGGCACGGGTGTACCCGGCGATGCCCAACTCTGTCCCCTCCCCGTGTCCCCAGGCTTGCCGCTGTCCCCATGGCGTGTCCCCTGGAGCAGGCGCTGGCCGTGGTGGTCGCCACCTTCCACAAGTACTCTGGCAACGAGGGCGACAAGTACAAGCTCAACAAAGCCGAGCTTAAGGAGCTGCTCACCAAGGAGCTGCCGAGCTTCAGCGTGAGTGCCGGGGCGGGGGGGGGCGGACTCGGGGCTCCGGGGACGTGCAAAGGCCGATTTTAACCCCTCCTTTTCCCTCCCCCCGGGTAGAAGCAAACTAGCGAGGCGAGTTTACAGAAGCTGATGAGCAACCTGGACTGCAACAGCGACAACGAGGTGGACTTCCAGGAGTACGTGACCTTCCTGGCCTGCATGGCCATGATGTGCAACGAGTTCTTCCAGGACCTCCCGGACAAGATGCCCCGCAGGAAGTGAGGGCAGGGCCCGGCACCGCCCCGGGGACCCTCCCGTTGTGCTCCCGATGTCATTTCAATAAATCTTGATTCAAATGAAGCGTTTTTGACCCGGGGGAGGGATCTCTGCCTGGGTTGGGGGAAGCTGGGGGTGATGCCAGGCTGGCTGTGGCTGTAGCTCTGGCTCTGGCTGTAGTTCTGGTTCTCTTTCTGGCTCTGGCCCTGGTTTTGGCTCTGGTTCTGGCTGATTCTGGCTCTGGCTCTCGTTCTGGTTCTGGTTCTGGCTCTGATTCTGGTTCTGGTTCTGGCTCTGGCTCTGGTTCTGGTTCTGGCTCTGGTTCTGGTTCTGGCTCTGGTTCTGGCTCTGGTTCTGGTTCTGGTTCCGGTTCTGACTCTGGCTCTGGCTCTGCCCGGGGTGGATGCTGCATCCCCACGGCCTCCCGAACCACCCCCGGAGCCACTCCCAGGCTGGCTCTGGTTCTGGTTCTGGCTCTGGTTCCGGTTCTGGCTCTGGTTCTCACTCTGCCCGGGGTGCATCCCCCGAGGCCTCCCGAACCTCGCCCGGAGCCACTCCCAGGCTGGCTCTGGCTCTGGTTCTGGTTCTGGCTCTGGTTCTGGTTCTCGCTCTGCCCGGGTGGATGCTGCATCCCCCGCGGCCTCCCGAACCGCCCCCGGGGCCGCTCCCCGGCAGCCACGTCGGGCTGACTCAGCCCTGCCCGGCCGCTCCTCCGCAGGAGCCGCTGACATCCCGCAGGGATGCGAGAACAGCTCCGAGCTGGAATTACACCAGCTCGGGCTCTGTCCCTCACCCGTGGATGTCGCGATTGTCGCCTCCCCACCGCTCGCGTTCCTGCCCGGGGTGCGGCCTTGCGGAGCAGCCACTTCCCGGTGCCCCGGGCCAGCCCGTCCCCGCCGCTCCGTTCCTCCCCCGCTGCCCTTTGCCCTCGCAATGAAAATCTTTGTCACGCTGCTGGCTCCAGATGTGCCACACGCCCCTTCCAGATGTGGCTGCGCCCCCTCCACCGCCGTCATCCTCAGCTCGGGGATGCTCCAGCGATGACACAAAGGGACAGGAGGAGAGGGAACGGCCTCAGGGGGGGCTCGTGGGGTGGAATTTCCTCCTGGAAAGGCCTTGGAAGGGCTGCCCAGGGAGGTTTGGAGTGGGCACCCCTAGAGGTGTCCAGGGAACTCCTGGGTGTTGGTCTGGGTGAGCAGGTGGGGATTGGGAACAACTTGGACTTGATGATCTTGGAGCTTTTCCAACCTCCGGGATCCCGGGAGTCTAAGATTTAGGGAAAAAAAAGATTTAGGGAAAAAAATTCTCCATTCCTCCAAAATCAGTGAACCCCCAGAGAATGGGGCTGCACCCCCGGGCAGGTGAGAGGGAGTCCCAAAATCCCACTCCTCACCTGTGGCCATCTGAAGGTGGAATGATGCTGCCCACAGGGATCCAACCTAAATCCATTCCCTTGTCAGGGATCCGCCCTGAATCAATCCCCCCTCACAGGGATCCACCCTGAATCACTCACCTGTCCTTGTCCCTCTCCTGTCCCCATGGCACTCACCTGTCCTTGCCCCCTCGCCAGGTGGCCCAGCCACGCCCTCTCACATCCCCATGGCACACAGGTGTCCTTGTTCCTCTCTGGTCCCCATGACACTCCCCTGTCCTTGTCCCTGTCCCCACGTGGCCCAGCCATGCCCTCTGCCATCCCCATGGCACAAACTTGTCCTTGTCCCCCTCCCATCCCCATGGCACAAACTTGTCCTTGTCCCCCTCCCATCCCCATGACACTCACCTGTCCTTGTCCCCCTCCCATCCCCATGGCACTCACCTGTCCTTGTCCCTGTCCCCATGGCACTCACCTGTCCTTGTCCCTGTCCCCACGTGGCTCACCTGCGCCCTCTGCCATCCCCAGGCCTGTCTGAACCCGTGTCCCTGCCGGGTCACCCGTGTCCCTCTGCCCAGCCCACGCGTGTCCCCTTCCTGTTGAGGACGCGCCCGTCCCCATCCCAAACCCCGTCCCTTTGTCTCCCTCTTTTGCAATTTTGGGTTTTTCTGGCAGCAGTTCCTGGGATTAGGAGGCTGGCGGGAGATGTTTCACCACCACTGTCACCGTCACTTCCCAAAAGCCTCCGTGACCACCTCCGGGTGGAGGCTCCTCACCACCCCCCTCCAGACACTTGGGGTTCTTCAGCTCATTCTAGGCATTGGGAATACTGGGGGGGCTCCACTGGGAGCACTGGGGGGGCCCCAAAGCTGGGGGACAGCTGGGGGTGGGCAGCGTTGGCCAATGCCCATGGTTATCCAGCAATTCCAGCTGCCGGGAAGTGCCACCTTCCAGGAGCGGCTGGCAGAGTTCCACAGAGCAGGATTGTCCCCTGGATCATGGGGAATGTCCTCAGGGAGGGGTGGGATGTGCTGGCCACCCTGGCACCTGTCTGTGGGAAGTGAATTGGAGGAGAATTTTCAAAGCCTGACAAAATGAAATTGAAGTTTTTCAAACGCCTCTCAATTGCCCCATTTGTGAGTCAGAAAAGGGCTTAATCCGACACCTGTCCAGCAGCCAAATTCACCAAAAACATCGGTGACAAACCACTGGGTGAAACCAGGGTCAGCTGGAGACCCCCACCCGGAGAAGTTCCTCTTCCACCATCTCCATCAAACACTTGTGAAACGTTCCAGAAAAGCTCCTGCACCATCGCTGACCCCCAATGCCATTTTTGGTGTTTCCTTGGTTTGCCTGACGAGTTTGGGGCTTCCCCTCCCTCGATAACAGTTCCTGGATGGGGTGAGGAGCCCGAAATCCTCACCTGGGCGTGCTGAGCTGCCTTGCACAACTCCTGGAGGTTCCTGCCCTGCCGGGAACCGAGGCTGGCACGGCTGGCATCTCCAGCAGGGTATAAAAGGTGCCATCCCCAGCTCGGCATCACCCGATCCTCCTGCTCCTTCCTCTGCAGAGCCCAGACCCATTCCAAGGTGAGCAGCTCCTTCCTGATGAGCGGCCGGTGCCTGTGCTGGGGTTCTGTTTGATATTTTGCCGTTTTTCCCCTTCCCAGCAGGATGAAAACTGACCTGGAGCTGGCGCTGGAATGCGCCGTCAACGTCTACCACCGGTACGCCATGAGGCACCCCATGGACGACTACCTGAGCAAGGAGGAGTTCTCCAGTCTGCTCAAGGACACGGCCGAGCCTTTCCTGAGGAACACGGTGCCGGTGAGAGCCCGGAGACGTGGGGTGGGATGGGATTGATGGGATGGGATGGGATCAATGGGAAGGGATCAATGGGATGGGATGGGATTGATGGGATAGGATGGGATCAATGGGATGGGATTGATGGGATGGGATGGGATCAGTGACATGGGATTGATGGGATGGGATGGGTTGGGATGGGATTGATGGGTTGGGATGGGATGGGATGGGATCAATGGGAAGGGATCAATGGGATGGGATGGGATGGGTTCAAGGGGAAGGGATGGGATCAATGGGATGGGATCGATGGGATGGGATGGGATTGATGGGATAGGATGGGATCAATGGGATGGGATTGATGGGATCAATGGGATGGGATTGATGGCATCAATGGGATGGGATCAATGGGATGGAATGGGATCAATGGCATGGGATCAATGGGATGGGATCAGTGGGATTGGATGGGTTGGGATGAGATGGGATGGGCGGGAATGGGCCTGGGAGGTCCTCTCATTCTGTGGATGCTAGGTAGGGACACCTCCCGCTGGATTGGGGTGCTCAGAGCTCATCCTTGAGCACTTCCAGGGATCCCTGGGGATGGGGAGGGTTCACAGAATTCCAGAATCACTGGGTTGGAGGAGACCTTCAAGATCATCTAGTCCAACCCTGCCCCAACACTTCAACTAAACGCTGGCACCCAGTGCCACATCCAGGGATGGTGACTCCACCACCTCCTTGGGCAGACCATTCCAGAACTTTGTCTTGGGAGCTTCCCAAAGAGAAGGAGGGTTTTTTGGGGTTCAACCCTCACTGGATAAGGGTGAGTGACCCCGAGCTGACTGTGCTCCCCCCACAGCCCAAAACGACCATTGACAGCTACATCCAGCAGCTCTTCACCAAAGCCGACGGCAACCACGACGGCCGCCTCAAGTTCACCGAGTTCCTGACCACGCTGAGCCTCGTGGCCATCGATGCCCACAACAGGTCCCACAAGGGTCCTGGTGATGACCACGACCACGACCATGGGCATGGCCACGGGCATGGGCACAGCCACCGTCGCTGAAACGGAGCCGTCTCCCACGGTGGCCGAGCCATGGGACTCTGCGTCCCCCCAGGAGCCTCAGCCCTGTAACCAAACCTTTGTCACCCGCTTCTCCTTCGTGGCATTGAAATAAAATCCCTTCCTTTGAGCACCAAACCCATCTGTGCTCCGTGTCCTGGGATCTGTGGGGGTTGAAGGGGAATAGCAATGGGAAGGGGAGAGTGGCATGGGAGGGTCCTTGTTCTGGGCATAGGGGGGTCAGGACAAGGTTTTGGGGGGTCCCAGTGGGCAGCACAGGGCGAGTGGGCTCCTGGAGGGTGTCAGATTCCAGGGTGAAGCTCCAGGCAGTGCCAGAAGTGAAACACAGTTGGGGGGGGGGGTCCTTCCAAGGGTCTCTGCCAAGACCCAGCCCTGGAACTGGGGGTGCCACATCCAGGGGGTGCCACACTCGGATGGTGCCACATCCCCAGGGTGCCAGATCCCAAGGGTGCCACATCCCAGGGGTGCTGCATTCCAGGGGTGCTGCATTCCAGGGGCGCCACTTCCCAGGCGTGTGTGACATGTTTTTGTGACCCCAAAACAATCCAGCAGCCCCATCAGAGCAAAGAACAAGGCCGAGGGGCTCTGGGGGCTCCATCCTGGGAGCTGCTCAGAGGAACGGCCGCTCTGCAGAACGAGTCAAACCTTTCATGGTTTGGGACATGTCCCCCAGGTCACCACACACCTAAAAGCCACCGTGGGCTCCTAGGGGCTGAAACAGGAGGGGAGAAGAGCTCCAGGACCTGTCAGTGAGGGGACATTGAGGGGGGAACCCCTGGGCTCAGGAGGCTCCAACATCAGCCCAAACCAGGGCCTGTCCCGGGTGAAACCAGCGGGGTTTGGGTGGTACCTCGGTGACACAGGACAGCTCTGAATTTGGAGAGCCTCCCTTGTCCCTTGAGGCAAATGTCACTCGCTGCCACCCCCATGTCACTCGGGCATCGCTGCCCTTGCAGGGCTGGGTATCGCCAGCTGCTTCCCCACAGGTTTTAGGGGAAAACTGGGAAAATTGGGAAAGGGGACGTGCGTGGGAGCTGCACAAGAGCACCAGAGGCTTTCCCTGCCAGCTGGGGGACGAGGGTGCAATTTGGGATGGGTGACACTCCAGTTTGGGATCAGTGACACTCCAATTTGGGATCAATAACATTCTAGTTTGGGATCCCAATTTGGGATGGTGACACTCCAGTTTGGGATCGGTGACACTCCAATTTGGGATCCCATTTTGGGATGGGTGACACTCTAGTTTGACATCCCAGTTTGGGATGTGTGCCAGTCTGCAAGGAGCGGGGCCGGGAAACAAAAGGAGCAATGAAGTGAGTCAGGGATACCGGAATAAATCCGTGCAATGCCCCGGGGACACAGGAGCATCCTCAAACAGGAATGGGCACCCCTGGTTCGGCTGGTCCTTCCCTCTTCCTCCTTCTCATTGTCTGATTTTAAACCTTCTCATTGTCTGATTTTAAACCTTCTAATTGTCTGATTTTTAAACCTTCTCATTGTCTGCTCCTCCTTGTCCCTAACACGGGTGACGCAGAGGTGACAATTGCAAAACACGCAGCAGTTCCTGCACCAGCCAGAAAAGACCCTGGCCTTGGATTTTCTCCTGGGTTTGTGCCCAGTTTCCTCCAGAAAATCTCTGGAGCAAGAGCAGAGTACAAGTAGAAAACAATGGAAAATATTCTGGAAAACAAGTTATAAAATACAGATGCTGCTTTGTCTTGGGCAGTGTCCAACCAGTTGGCGTTGTAGAAAACAGAAATCACATTAAAAACTAACCCAGGGGACAAAGTTATCCCTGTTTCCATGTGGAACAGCCCAGTTTGCTCCTATGGCAGAAGGAAAGTGTGCAAATTTTTCGTCGTGTTGCAAAACTCCCCAAGTTTTGGCAACTTCTGCCCAAACGTCTTTGCCCTCTACATGGAGGTGTGACCAAGCCAGGGTTTTTCCCCTCCCTGAGCCCTGTCAGAGGTGATGGAGGGGCCAAGGACAACATTTCCAAAGCCTGGTGGGTGCAACCAGGAACTTGAGTGGAGGAATGAGGCTGGGAGGGGCTCAGGGTTCCCACCTGGCAATTTCCAGGTGCGGGAAATGTGAACTCAAGCCGATGCTTGTGGCAGGTGTGTCACCAGCTCTGATGAAAGAGGACCTCAGACAGGTATAAAAGGGCTGCTCCAGGCTCCTGGGTCACACCGACGGATCCATCCCCTGCAAACTCTCCTTGGAGACCAGGGTGAGTAGGACCAGGATGGTCCTTGCAGGGAAAAGGATGAGTTTGGGATCCACCAGCCCACGGCGATGGGTTCTCCTCGGGGTAGAGCAGGAGGTTGGTTTGGGTTGGAAAACGAGGACAAATTAATGGGAGTTTGGTGCCATCTTTGGTGGGGGCACCACTAATTCTGTGCCCTCTGCCCTAAACGCCCTCGTTGGCGGTGCCCCAGTGGCCTGACCCTGCTTCCCTCACCCAAAAAATGTCTCCAGGTTAGGGTTACGGTTAGGGTTAGGGTTAGGGTTAGGGTTAGGATTAGGGTTAGGGTTTGGGTTGGAACAAGCTGCTTCCTTGGCAAAGCCAAACTGGAGCCATAACCCATCAATATCCCCAAATCCCCTAATTTTCTGCTCCACACCAAGAAGCTGCAGGTGCCCCCCGGCTCAGGTGCAGCTCCCGCTGATTTTTGGCTCCTCTCAACTTCGAGGTTTGTCCCCAACCCTTGCAGGTCCCTCCAGAGCTCAGCCATGTCCACCAGCACCCACAGCCACGCCGGGAGCCGGCAGTTGCCGGGGAACTGCACCCTGGAGAAGTCCCTGCAGACCATCGTGGACATGTTCCACCAGTACAGCGTCCGCCAGGGCGAGATCGACCTCCTGAGCATCGACGACTTCAAGACGCTGCTGACGGAGCAGGCGCCGTCCTTCCTGAGTACCTGCGTGAGTTCCCGAGGGGCAACCCCACAGGGATGGGGCTCAGGAGCCCCTGGGGCACGGGGGGCACTGGGGGGTTTCTATCACACCCAGTTTGGGGTCACCCCTGCTCTTCCTCCTGCTGTGTGTGGTGGTGGAAAGTGAATCAGACACGGTCCAGCCACGCAATTTGCAATTCTTCTGGTTTTTGCAAGGTCCAATCAAAAGGTTCTCTTTTCAAGGGCAGATAAATTGTGAAATCTTTGCCTGCCGTTGTCAGCAATCTCACTCTGGCTCTGATTATGATGCCAGCTGTCATTTCTAATGTTGTAAAAATTGGTTTTGGAGATCTGTAGGATAAGAAAATCCATTTGGATCCCTCTTTGAGGTGTCCCATTGAAAGCTGAGACCACACAATTGCATTTTTTCTCCTAAATGTCTGTGACATCCATGTCCTTGTCTTTGTTGGAGGGCCTCACCAACCTCCTCAAGGGCTTCTTGGGCCTCAGCTCTGAGGGTTCTGGGACATCTAATGTTCCTCTCAATAAGTTGGAAAATGATGCAAATTCATCGTTGGTGATTCCCAGAATTGGCCTGGTCCAATTGATTTCTCCCAAAAGCCACTGTGTCCACACCCACAGGGATCTGGGACAAAATCCTGTCCCCTCTGGGGTTTAATTTGAGGCTAAGGGTGAGACAGGGGAGGGTCAGGATGTCCTGCAACTTCCAAACCCTTCCCAGGGCAGGGAAGGATCCACCCAGCTCCAGGGTGGAGCCAGGGCAGGGATGTGACCCCTCCTCGTGTCCCCAAATTTAGGACAGGAACCAGGCCGGCTACTTGGACAAGCTCTTCCAGGAGACCGACCTGAACAAGGACAAGGAGCTGAGCTTTGAGGAGTTCACCATCGTGCTGAGCAAGCTGGCCGACGACGCCCACCGCATCAGCCACGGCTCTGAGCGCTGCGGGCCGGACAAGGACTGAGCCTGGCATGGGAAATGGGAGAGGGAAGCTTTGGGAGTTGGGCTCTGGCTGCTCCCTGCCTGCCTGGAGCAGCCCCTTGGCACAATAAAGCATCATTTGAAGTTCTCTGAGCCTTTCCCATCTCCTCATCCGTTGTCGAGGGGGTGGGAGGAGGGACAGAGAGGGGTGGGTGGGGTCATCTGCAGTGATGGTTTTGTTGAGGATGCCAAAAAATCCTCATGAAGCAAAAAAAAAAAAAAAAAACAAACAAAAAAACTGCCCAAAATCCTGTGGTTTGGGATATTGGGATTTCAGGGTATGGTAATGATGATTTTCTGCCATTCGGGGAGACATGTGGAGTCCAGACACTTCCATATCCAAACACTGCAGTACCCAAACATCCCAAATCCCAAATCCTGCATCTCAGGCACTGGAAACGCTCTGCTTGATGATGATTTGGGATTTGGGAAGTTGGGGTATTGGGGTGTTGGGATATGGACCCCGGGGGGGACAAAGCTGCTGCTCCCTCTCCGCACACCAGCCACTCTCCTGCCCCTAAAAGTGAGTTTTGAAAGAATTTTGCAACTCTTTGCAACCTCGGGGTGTCTCTGCGGGTCCCCAAGCACCTCCCAGCAGATCCTGGGCTGTTCCTGCTCTGGTTTATGGATCCCCACACCTGGGGGTCACCCCTGGCTCAGGCCACCTTGGAACCCCCTGTCCCCCATCCTTGTCCCCCTGGCACCTCCAGGGTGATCAAAGTGAGCCAAGGAGATTTCCTGAAATTGCACCAAAACTCCCCGGACACCCCGTTGTGAAACGTCCCCGATGTCCCCGGATGTCCTGCACAGCAGAACCTGCCCGTTGTGAAAGCAGAGCACCCTGCAGCCAGGGCTGGGGGCTGGGGATGGAATCCCAGCATCCCGGGGTCCTTTCACTTGGAAAAGATCTCCAAGATCGAGTCCAACCTGTGACCTGTCCCCACCTGGTCACCCAGACCAATGTCCAGCCTGTCATGTGTCCCCACCTGGTCACCCAGATCAATGTCCAGCCTGTGACCTGTCCCCACACCCAGACCAATGTCCAGCCTGTGATGTGTCCCCACCTGGTCACCCAGACCAATGTCCAGCCCTTCCCTGGACACCTCCAGGGATGGGGACTCCAAACCCTCCTTGCCCTTTCCAGGAGGAAATTCCTGCTGAAAGGAGCTCCTGAGTTCGCCCCAGGCCTTGTTTTGGCCTCCAAAACAAGGAGGCCAAAGACCAACCTGAGACCAACCGTGGCTGAGACCAACCCGAGCTGGGCAGGTCAAACAAACCCCAGATGAGTGTGCTGAGTCAGCAGGCAGCTCATTTTAATGAGGAAACGCTGGAAAATCTCGTTTTACTCCCAAACTTGGCAGCTCGGAGCTTCCAGGCCCGCGCTGGGCCTGTGCCACAAAGCCGAGAAACGACAACACAAAAAAGCCACAAAGCCGGGCCAGAGCCCTGGAAAGCGAAATCAAAATGTGCCTTTCAGCCACACCTGGGCTCTGCAGCTCAGGGCACACCTGGGGTGGGGAGAAGCCACCCTTGGCACGGATGGAACGGAGCTCCTGGAGCTGTGCCAGGCCGGGAACACGCCCGGATCGTCTTTCATGGACAGCTGGTTGCTGCAGGCTGGGGACGGTCCTGGTGCCACCTGTGCCCTGTGTCACACAGCCAGCCCTGCCAGGAGTGGGTGGCACTCGGTGTTCTGCTCTGGTGAGGGGTCAAAGGTTGGGCTTGGTGATTTTGGAGGTTTTTTTCCCAAGCTCAGGGATCCTGGCAAGCTGTGAGATGTTGGGATGCACCAGGGGTGGGGACATTTTGGAGACGAGTGGGGCAGGAATGGCACCGTGGGTGACTTGGCATCAGCAAAGAGCCCTGGAAAGGAAGAAAATGTGGAAAAATCCCAAATATGGAAAAATCCCAAATGTGGAAAAATCCCAAATATGGAAAAATCCCAAATGTGGAAAAATCCCAAATATCTGGGGTGTTGTCACCTGCTGTGTGTTTTTGGGGTGTTATCAGCTGCTCTGGTTGGTTTATCAGCACAGCCAGGCTTAGACCAGGCCCATTTTGGGGCCAAATCAGCTCTGAGCTCTCATCTGCAGGGCACAGAGGCTGCGAGGTCCTTCAGCCTCCTTGGAGAAGGAGTTCCTCCAGCCTCCAACAGCTCCAGAAAGGAACGTTCCTCCCCAGATTTTCCCAGACCCGGCCTGGTTATCCCAGATTTTCCTGGCTCTTTGCAGTGACCGTTTCTCCTGCAGGCCCAGCAGAGCCAGGAGCCGCTCTCGGAGCTGGAGAAGGCCATGGACGTCATCATCGACGTCTTCCACCAGTACTCGCGCCGCGAGGGCGACAGGGACACCCTGAGCAAGAAGGAGCTCAAGATGATGATTGAGAAGCAGCTGGCCAATTACCTGAAGGTGAGGGGCTGCACCCCAGGGCCTGGATTGCCCCCAGGGTTTGGGTTCACCCCCTTCCTGCTCTGCTCTCCTGCCCAACCACCCCGTCCCAAATGTTCTCCATGAAGGAACCCTCACAGCTCTCATCCCCTTCTCTGCAAAAACCAGCCCAAAATCTCATTTTCCCCCTGGAAGCCACACCACAAACACCCCACAAACCCCATTTTTCTGTTTGGAACTCACCATCCTAAAGCCAAAAGAAAGTTTTTTCCACCCAGGGGAGAGACGAGGGGATTTTCCCCTCACTTTGCCCTCTCCTCCTCCTCCTCCGCAGAACGTGAAGAGCAAGGCCACCATCGACCAGATCATGAAGGACCTGGACGTCAACAAGGACGCCCAGATCAGCTTTGGGGAGATGATGCTGCTGGTCACCCGTGTCACCTGTGCCACCCACGAGCACCTGCACGAGGTGGAGGACCACCAGCACCAGCACCAGCACCAACACCAGCACCACCACTGAGGCAGCCCCCGCTTCCCTCCCCACCAGGAGGAATCCTGGAGCTTGGAGAAGGCTCCAGAGCTGAATCCAGCCTTCAACCCCTCCCTCCCTCCTCCTCTTCCTCCTCCTCTTCCTCCCAGCACCGTGGTTTTGCTGCCAAATAAAAGTTTCCAAAGCTCTCCCGTGTCTCTGTGGCTTTTTCCTCCTTTCCTAAATCCACTTTTGGGGCAGGCTGCAGCTTCCCAGGGGTGGGGTGGGGGCCTGGGAATTTGGGATTCACCCCAGCAGCTGCTGGTGACTCCCAGAGGTTGGGGTTGCACCCAGGATTTGTGAGATTTTTGGTTTCCAACTGGAAAAAAATCAAATTTTTTGACCTGGAAACTCTGCACAGGGGTCCCGAGCTGAGCTGTGGTGGTGGGCAGGAAGGATGGGGAGGCATGAGCATTGTTTTCTGCAGGAAAACCCTTTTTAGGGCATTTTTGCTCCAGAGACGGTGGTGGACACATTAACTTTTGGGCTTAAAAACTTGTCTGTGGACAAGAATGTGAAACAACCCCAATCCCTGACCCAGAACACCCCAAATTTGCCCCAAAAATTGTAATTAGTTAATAATCAGCTGCTGCCCAGAGGGAAAAGCTGGCTGGGAGCATCGATGGAGCTTCCCAAACCCTTTTTGGGGCAGGAAAAGCAGCAGAGCTGATTTCCCAAGGGTGACTCAAGGCCCTGAAACCGCCCAGCTCCAGGAAGGAACTTTCCAGAAGCTTCCCCAAAGCAGCAGAGCTGAAGCAAGACACAATTAACACAAGACACAATTAACACAAGACTCAATTAACACAAGACCTCCCCGGGTTTGCTTCACCACCAGGTTGCTTCAGCTTCCTCTGGAGCCACTTTTGACACCCAAAATGTCAAATTCCTCCTAACGGGGTCAAAGCTGCTGCAGGAGCAGGGTCCTCTCAGCTCTGTGCCCCAAAAAATGAGCCAGGGTTAACCCCAGCCCTAGACCTGAGCCTAAACCTGAGCCTAACCTTAATCCTAACCCTGTGGGATTAAGCTCTTTTTTGACTTGGAGGTGGAGGTAACTGAGAGGTGTTTTAAAACATTTTACTTTTAAATTTTATTTTTAAAATGTATTTTTGATTTTAAGAAATGAAAATATCAATACATAAATAATAAATAATAAATGAAAATAATTATAATATCATTATAATAATCCCCTAATAATATATTATAATAATCCCCCAAAATAATCCGGGATCCGGAGACGAGCCCGGGCTCCTGCTGCCACCTGCTGGGATGCGACATCGCGAGGATGCGACACTTGGAGAGGCCACCAGGTCCTGCCTGAGCTCCCCAGGACCGCCCCGACCCCGGCACGGCCCCGTCCTGTCCCCCCCGCTCCTCCAGCGCTGAAATAAATCCCATTATTCGCATTTACTTGTCCGAATCAAGCCCTGCATTTTCGGCCCGAGCTGCTGGTGTGAGGCCACCCACCCATTTCCAAATGTCCCAAACGTGGGGTCAAAGGTGCTGCTGCCCGTGACCGCCCCAAACCCAGCCCCGAATGGAACCCCCCCGCCCTGGGGTCCCCCAAAATCTCCAGGGCTCCCCAAAGAGAACTGCAAAAAAGCAGCCAGGGACCTGCAGGGACTTGCTGCCTCTTGCCTCACCCTGCTGGGGAAGGAAAATTGGGCTCGGTCCCATTTCCAACCCAGCGGGGGGCGTGGGTGGCTCTGCAGCCCCTCCTGGCCCAGCCGAGTGGAAAAGCCGAGGGAGATCTGCTGTGGGAACTCAGCGCATCGCTCCGGATGTCCAGAGTTGCCAAGAGAACCCTTGGGGGGCTCAGAGGTCTTGGAATGTTGCCAGAAGCATCTGGTGGCTTGACTTTGACCCTTCTAGGGATGCGCCATCGGTGTATGGGGAAATGAGAAACCTTTGAATGGTGCAGGAATGATATATCTACAGGGTGAAACACAGATTTTAGAGTTTTGGTACAGGGGGGTTATGGAGACAAGATGGAGGATTCAGGGCGTGTTCCCAGGTTCTTCTTTCTTCTTCTTGTCATCCATTTTCTGTGGTGATGTTGGCGCTTGTGGACTGGTTCATGGTGAAGGTGCACTTGTTAATAAGGATGAAAGGTATTGGGAATAAAAGGTAAATATGTTAGACGTGGTTTTCACTATAAAAGACACAGCCACCCCGTGGGCGGGGGAGAGTGCACTTGGCTGCCTTCCTGACCAGACCTCGGCTGGGCAGACAGAAAACTTTGGAGATAAGAAATAATAAACAAAATCGAAGGCCGAAAACTCGAGAGTCCAGATTCGTCCTTTGAAGCGCGGCCTGCCCAGAACCACCTTATCCATATGGGGCAGAGACAAGAAACAATCTGCCCCTGTTGGGAGATCTGCCCCTGTTGGGAGATCTGGGGCCGCTGCCCGAGCCGCGGAGAGCGGCATGCCCTGGGCAGGGGAGGGATCCCAGCAGCCCCGCGGCTCCTCCGGGAGCAGAACGAGCTGTGCTGGGAGCCTCTCCCAGATCTGGGGATGGATCAGAGGCTGGTGCTGGGCATGGATCCATTGGGAATGGATCAGAGCCTGGTCCTGGATCCATCGGGGCAGGATCAGAGCCTGGTCCCAGATCCATCAGGATACAATCACATCCTGACCATGGCTCCATCAGGGCAGGATCGGAGCCTGGTCCCAGATCCATCAGGACAGGATCACATCCTGACCCCAGATCCATCAGGGCAGGGTCAGAGCCTGGTCCCAGATCCATCGGGGCAGGATCAGAACCTGGGCATGGATCCATTAGGGCAGGGTCAGAGCCTGGTCCTGATCCAGATCCATCAGGACAGGATCACATCCTGACCATGGCTCCATCAGGGCAGGATCACATCCTGACCCCAGATCCATCAGGGCAGGATCAGAGCCTGGTCCCAGATCCATCAGGACAGGATCACAACCTGACCCTTCTGCTGCCCTTGCCTGCGCTGGCTCATGGTGCCTCCAGTCTGGGCCCAGTGACATTTGGGACAGCCTAAGAAGAAGATTAAACCTCATTTTCCCGCAGGAATTCTTCTGGTCTGTGACATTTTCTAAACTTCGCCGTGAACCCGCAAACCCCTTGGGTTGTAGAGGGAAAAATCAAATTTAGGGGATGTTAAATACAGAGTTTTATGTGAGAAGGGAACCTCTGGCTGGCGTTTTTGGGGACCCAAGGAGGTGCTTTATCCCTGACCTACATACACCTCTCCAGGTGTGCCGTAAACATCCTCGGAGCACGGGATAATGAGGGAGGCTCCCTGGGAAGAGGCAGCCAGAGAACAGGACTGACCGGAAGGAATCCTCTCCTCCTCCCACCGCCGAGCCTGCCCGGAGCTGCTCCCAGCTGCTCCCACCACTCCCGACCCGGCCCCGGCGGATGCAGGTGAGTCTCCGCCGCTTCTTTTCGGCTTTGAAATGAGCTTTTGTCTTTGAAATGAGCTTTTGTGTCTGAAATGAGCTTCTGCGTGTGCGGGGTTGCCTTGGAACTGGTTTTACCCGGAACAGCTCCCAGGCTGGACGCACTTTCCGCACCTGCGGGAGCTGATTCATTCACCCCACAAGTGCCGGGATGGTTACAGGGAGAAGCTTCCCTTTAATTGAACCGGGGAAAGTGGAGAAATGAAGGGAATCGAGGGGAAAGTCCTCAGAGAAGCCGGGAAAGGAAAACTTCTTTGTACCTCTGGTGAAATCAAATGCAGGAAGGCTGAGGCAGGATGTTCGGGATTTTTGGAAGGGATGTTTGGGGTTTTTGGGTTTTTTGGAGGGGATGTTTGGGATTTTTGGGATTTTTAGAAGGGATTTTTGGGATTTTTGGAATTTTTAGAAGGGATTTTTGGGATTTTTAGAAGGGATGTTAGGGATTTTTGGAAGAGATGTTTGGGATTTTTGGAAGGGATGTTTGGGATTTTTGGGATTTTTGGAAGGGATGTTTGGGATTTTTGGAAGAGATGTTTGGGATTTTTGGAAGGGATGTTCAGGATTTTTTTGGAAGGGATGTTCAGGATTTTTTGGAAGGGAACACGGGGGTTTTCCTGCCGCTCTGACAGTGTCTGTGGCCTCAGGTTCTGCTCCTCTCCAGGACTGGAGCCATGTCCAGGCTCATCAAAGCCATCACTGACATGATGCAGAGCTCCCAGGGCAACGCCAGGAAGGGCAGGAAATCCGAGACCTTCAGCAGGAGCGAGTTCAAGAAGCTGATCCAGCAGGAATTCGTTCCTGTCAAGGTAAGAGCAGGGGCTGGAGGGGGAAAAGAGGGTGGGAAAGGGACGTGGAATTGTTGGAGCGAGTCCAAAGGAGACCACGAGGTTGATAAAGGGACTGGAGCCCCTCCCTGACGGATCCAGGCTGGGAATGTTGGGAATCCTCCAGGATCTGCAGGGGCTCCAGGGAAGCTGGAGAGGGACTTTTCCTCAGGAACTGCAGGGACAGGACGCAGGGAATGGGGTCGGGGTGACAGAGGTAGGATAGGCGCCCAAATTTTGGGATGTGAGCACGTCCTGCCCTGGGGACGCTGCAGCCACCGAGGGAGGTCGTTCCTGCTGTCACCACACCCTCCTCTGCCCTCTGGGGTATTTCAGGCTGACCGGAGGTGTTGGGGGTCTGCAGCAGCCCCCCCACATCCCTAGCTGGGCTGGGGTCTCTCCACTCTTGGGGTTTTTCCTGCGGAGCCCCCTCCCCTTTTCCCGCAGGGGCAGCTCCAGCCCTGGCACCGGCTTTGGGCATTGTCCAGCACCGGGTGCTGCTCGGGCTGGGGGGGGGGTCCCGACCCTTCCCCACCTCGGGAGGGGCTGACGGGGTCGTGTCCCCCCTCAGAGGTCCCCGAGCAGCAAGTACAGAGCCATCCCCCGGCCCTCGGAGCCCGACACGGAGCCCATGAACAAGGAGAGGGCTCCGGCCAAATCCTGCGTCTACTGAGGGCTCCCTGCAGCTCTGACACCTGGAGGGAGCAGGTAAGGGACAGCAGGGAGATGTCACCCCTGGGGCACCTCCCGGGGAGGGGACAGAGCCGTCCCTGTGCCCGCTGTCACCCCGAGGTGACGAGGATCATCCCGGCGAGCCCAGCCCAGCGGGGAGGGTGGGATGGAGCAGGAGCTGGGCTCTGCAGGGCGTTTAATCGGCTCTAATTAAACCTGAGG